ATTGAGGTCGGAAGCTGTACTGGAATTTGATCCGCTGATTGATGCTCTTCGCCCGAGCTGTGGTTCCAAGACACCGCCCATGGATTCGTTCTGGAGCCACAATGCCGCCCCGGGCTTATGGGATTTCCTCGTCGCTGTCTACTTCGCTTTCGGCTTTTTCGCTGCTCGCCTCATCTTCGACAGATTCATCTTTCGCGTAAGGTTTCGAGCTCTTTGTTGCCATTTCAAGTAGCTTGAACGTTAGGTTTCTGTTCAATTTTCTATGACAGTTTGGTGGGTTCTGTTTGGCTTCTGAGAAAATTGTGGGAAAGAGAGAGAGAGAGAGAGAGAGAGAGAGAGAGAGAGAAAGGAAATCTTGAATTGTATGATCACATATCTTGTCCTGCTTTACTTTCTTGACTTTTAGCAGTATTTTCTTTTTCTTTTTGTAGAAAAATCTTTCCTTTTTCATGTTTTAACTGCGTAGCTTAGTTAGAGTGGCGCTTTTGTTTAATGGACTCCATTGATGACGCGTTTAAGTAGAGGCATTTAGCAGGACTTTTAAGTTTCTCACTAAGCTATGCGTTTGAATAATTGAATTCGGTCTTTTAATGGTTGAGAAAGAATCTTAACATAATTGGTCCCTTAATGGGTGAGCAGGTATGTTTTTTATTATGGTGATCTGCTTGAGTTGAGTTAGTCCAGTAATTTCGGTGATTTGGAGCACAAAAAAGAAAAAAAAAAAAAAAAAAACAAACTGCCCGGTTTGAGGATTATATGGTTTGTGGCGGAAATCATCCGGAGATTTTGAGATTTCGATGATTTATCAGATCCGTGATAATGGTTGTGAGGTTTTATTATGTACTTGGTTTGATGATGGGATGTTTAAGGTTCTGTTAGTGCTCGTTTCTGGTCTAGCATCTGGAAACGGTGATTTTCATAAGCCTTAAACTTGATAGTTGCTTAACTTTTTCTGATTCTGGGAAAAGTTGAGATTTGTTTGTGCTGAGTTGTTAGATTTGGTCCTTGGAGTATAGGTTTACTAGTTAGTAATTAAATGTTAACTTGCTGATGTCGGGCTGTTCAAGGTTTTGGTACAGTAAGTTTTGGTGTAGCATCTGAAGGGGGTGTTTGTTATGGACCCTTAACCTGTAGATTTTAAGGTGATATAGATGATACCCTGGGAATTGTAATTTGGTTTTCCAAGTGTTGGTAATATAGGCTGTTTACAGACTGTTAGATTGGCTTCATCCCTGTGTTTGGTTTGCTTAATTTAATTCTATATCCTAGGAGAACTGATATTTTTGTGTTCTTTACTGTATGTACAACGATGTACTCTATTCTTGATCTATAAAAATGATCTTCCTTTAATTCTATGACATCTATTTGACCATGGTAACAGAGGAATATGGTCGTTGTAACTTCACATCTGCCTCTCGAAACCTTATCTTACCTTGAAGGGGCTTAAACTTAGACACCCCGCCCCCACCCATTCCACCACACCCCCCACCCCCAAAAAAAAAAAAAAAAGAAAAAAACAACCCACCACACCATCTGTAACTAGAATGCAGCTTTACCAGATTTATATGTTTTTCACATGATTCATAAATGAAATGCAAAAGAAGTGAGATCCAAATTTAAAAAGTTTCATACCATAATCATCCCAAGTCTGACAAGTAGCATGTCTTTGGCAAACAGAGTGATCAGATCTTAGGTTAAACTATAACCTTATCTTACCTTAAAACTGTATCCCTCATACTACAATATTTTATGTTTTTCTTTTCTGCTTTTCAGAATATTTCCGTCTGGTTGTTGAGGAAGGGATCTGCTCCATTGAAGCTTGATATGGCCACACAGGCAAAGATTGTAAAATGTTCGGAGTCAATGTGGAAGCTAACATACTATGCCACTGTTGAAGCATGCATTCTCAGCATAACCTACCATGAGCCATGGTTCAGAGATACAAAAGAGTACTTTAAAGGCTGGCCAAACCAAGAGCTGCGGTTAGTGATTCATACGGTTGGGCTTAATAGTCCTAAACTCTCACTACTGGTTAGATAAACCTTTTTTTTTTTTAATTGCTGAAAATGGCTTTGTTATGTCTTTAATTTTGCATATTGTTTGGAATGACTGAATATGTAAAACTCAAGATTTATGATGAGTTGAGTTTGACAGATATAGCAGGGCAAAATTGTGTATTCTGACCCTATCCTTTCTCATTTCAGGCTTCCCATAAAGCTTTTCTATATGTGTCAATGTGGATTCTACAGCTACAGCATTGCTGCCCTCCTTACATGGGAGACTCGAAGGAAGGATTTCTCGGTGATGATGTCTCACCATGTAATTACTGTTCTCCTGATTGGGTTCTCATACATAACAAGGTATATTTCAGGTTTTCTGCAAGTACTTATGTGAGTACTGCAAAAAACAACTCTTTAGCTGTGTTTATTTGTGTGATGTGAAGGATCTCATGCAATTACTTTCATGTTATTATCCACTTTCAGCTTTTTTCGGATTGGCTCAATCGTTCTTGCCCTACACGACGGAAGTGATGTATTTATGGAAACTGCTAAGGTTTTCAAGTATTCTGAGAAGGAGCTTGCAGGCAAGTGTGTTCTTTGGATTTTTTGCTGTTTCGTGGGCCATACTGCGGTTAATATTCTTCCCTTTCTGGGTCATAAGCGCATCAAGGTCTGCTCTCATAGTAAATCATTTTATTAAACCGCGTTTACATGTATTGTGGCTCCTTCAACTTATCTGTTCTTATGGTTGATATTTTCCAGCTATGATCTTTGTGACTGCTTGGATCTATCGAAGCCCTCTCCCACAGCTCTGTATTATGCATTCAATACAATGTTACTGATGCTTTTTGTGTTCCACATATACTGGTGGGTTATGATTTGTTCAATGATAAGGAGACAGGTGAACAATAGAGGACAAGTTGGAGAAGATATTAGATCTGGTAAACCATATATTTTGCTTGAGAGTTTTAAATATTACAAATCCTAATAGTGCTTATGAAATTACTTTGTGAAGCACGATATTATATTTTGGAAAGTATACTTTCTGTCTCTTGATCTCATTAATTTAGTAATGGCTGGAAGCATTTAGTCAGAGTTTCTTCCGTAAAAGACACTATGTTAAGAAGTGTGTGCCTTGATATTTAATAAGACCTGCATGCAATAAAAAATCCTCATGTTACTAATCTTATTCGAACATGATAAATTTGGGACGTACGTTACCTATACTATATTTCAATGGCTACTTAGAGTTTGTTTTAGTTGTAAGGACATGGATAGTTTAAGGAAATTTGATCAGGGTCCAGGCAACTGATCAAGAAAGTAGCACGTAGTTCTGCTGCAATGTAAGTACTACTTAGATTTTATATATTGATACGAATGGGTTGGTGGATAGGATACATCATATTGAATTAAAATTTTCATGATTGCTACTAGTCCTAGTAATTTAATTTTCAATTCGCCTATAGTAGTTGGTATGGCTTGTCCCAAGCGGCCTGATGGTTGTCGGCTCATGCTGAAATAGCTTGTCGGAAAATGGGGATATGGCTAAGGACAATGCTACTTTTGCCACTTTTATTTCCTGACCTAATGTCAAACAATATAGTTGATTGCATTAGAAAAGGAACACGATGTTACAGAACCCAATGTGAGCATGCATGTAAGTTGGGAAAGAAAAACTGGGAAGTAAATTTGGGTTCTCTGGCATTGTCTGATACGTTTTGCTATCCCCCGATTCCCAGACCAAGTATTGGTGAAGGCTCTGTCCATATCTAAGCTAAGGATTTTGGTTTGATGGCCACCTTTCAAATTTGTCACTTTATTGTTGTACTTGGACTAGGCATCTTGTGTTCTCTCAACCCACCGTATATAACATCTACATTAACGCACAATGGAACACAGTTTAGAAGTGAAAAGTGAAGTCTCTCGTGTTTTTTAGATGGGATTTGTTTCGCCCTTTTTCTAAAGATTTTGTTTTTGCTTTCTTACAGATTCAGAGGATGATGATTAGGCGGAAGATTTTCCCAAGTTCTTTTTGTGTGGCTGTTCTAGTATGATGGGGAGACTACTTTTGACTCCTTGGTTTATCGCTGCACTCTAAAATGATCATTATCTGTAGGAAGGGCTTTGATAATTTCTTCCATTTACAAATTTTCTTTGGTGAGTGCGGATAACCGTGGAGAGGTAGGAACGTGGAGGTAGGGACATGGAGCACATCTCATGATATATTTGTTTTCCTTGTACGGTGGAGTCTCTGTTAAGCTTTCGGGTGTATAAATAGAAGGCAGTTCCTGTATAATTCTTCTCTGGATAATCACTTGTTTCGATTTGGCCTTTGTATGGGGAAATGAAAGGTATTCACAATATAGAAAAGAGAAATTTTCTATGGCATGCTATGTGATTTGATTCAAGACCTCCTGTGTAGTAGCGCATCGTACTCTATATTCTCTCTCTCTCTCTCTCTCTCTCTCTCTCTCTCTTCTTTTTTTTTCCCCTATCTTTAACGGAAAACAAAAATAGAAACTTTTTTTTTCTCTATCTTTAACGGAAAACAAAAATAAAAACATTTCAAAACGGGTCCTTTGTTTTCCATCCTCGGTTTATGTGTACAAGGGCTTTTTTTTCGTGAAATACAAAGCATTTATGAGCAGAAGTGTTTTCTAGAGATTCTCTCTCAACCAACTCTTATTAGATTGAGAGAGAGAGAGAATTATCTTTTAAGATACTATTAAACTCTCTCTCTCTCTCTATCGACTTAACTGCAAAAGCACTCCATTTGGATACGTGACATTGGTGTTGTGGGAAGTGTCAACTCACCACAAACAAAACTGTAGCCAATTCAATATAATGCTTGAGCTTATCTTGTTAGGAATTCCAATGTCTTGACTCATGACGCGAAGACTTGAAGTGGAATATGAGTAACTTTTTCACACCTCCAATCCAAATTATCCAATCCATCTGAATTGTTAGGAGTTAAGAGTTAGATCGATCGATAATCTTTACAATTTAACCTCAAACAAACATTCTGGTAATAAATTCTGCAAGGAAAGAGACATGAAAGCTCTAACCACTTCCCTCTTCTTTCTCCTTTTCTGTATACCTCTACTCCCCAACTTCACTGCTCCCCAGATACTATTTCAGGTAATCTCTCTCTCTCTCTCTCTCTCTCTCTCTCTCTATATATATATATATATGTATATATATGTGTGTGTGTGTGTGTTTGAATGACTAACCGGTTCTTCTGGGGCTGGCCGGCGAGCGATGATCAGGGGTTCAATTGGGAATCATGGAAGGAGGAAGGAGGATGGTACAAATCTTTAAGCAAGTGCACACCTCAACAACTAGCTTCTTCTGGGATTACGCATGTTTGGCTTCCTCCACCTTCTCATTCTGTTTCACCTCAAGGTATATGCTGTTCTTTCACCTCCCCCATTTAGCACTTTTCAATTCAGTTACTACTCAAAACCAGATTACAATTTGATAACGCAGCCGAATTAGTTTAACAAATCTGTTAAACATCAGATAGGATGCATTCAATTCGATACAATATATTTGAAATGAACTTTGATTTATACGGAATCGTTTTAAATCCATCCGTTTTCATCTTTTGGTCTAATTCAATTTTCCATATATAGGGCTAGTTTGGTACTTAGAATTCGTCAAATAGGTCATATAATTCAATGCGTGTAGGTAGAGGTGAATGATTTTTTTTTATTTTTAGGGGATTAAAAGGGATAAATTTTCTTCGTGAGTAATTTATCTTCTGCCTTCAAGTTGAACACAAGTACTTCCTTTATTTCGTCGACATATATACCTTGAGTACAAGAAAGTATTAAATTATATTCCAATCCTAGGCATCAAACAAGCCCAATATCCTATAGCCCAAACGGCACTGAACTTTAGTTTTATAACATTCTTCCTATCTAGTCATTAGCTACTTGCAGCAGCTGATGACTGTCATTTGACTCTTCACTTTTCCAAGGATACATGCCTGGAAGGCTCTATGATCTGAATGCATCAAGATACGGAAACCAAGATGAACTCAAGGCGCTGATAAACACCTTCCATGACAACGGGATACAAAGCATTGCAGATATAGTCATAAACCACAGATGTGCAGAGAAGAAAGATGAAAGAGGAATATGGTGCATCTTCGAAGGAGGAACTCCAGATGATCGCCTTGATTGGGGGCCGTCTCTTATTTGCAGCGATGACATAGCTTATTCCAATGGCAAGGGCAACCCTGACACTGGAGCTGACTTCAGTGCTGCTCCTGACATTGATCACATAAACACAAGAGTCCAGAGAGAGCTCTCAGATTGGATGAATTGGCTAAAGACTGAAATCGGGTTCAGTGGATGGCGATTTGATTTTGTCAAGGGATACGCTCCAGAATTCACCAAGTTGTTTGTGACAAACACAAGGCCTAGTTTCTCAGTAGGGGAACTTTGGAACTCCCTTGCTTATGGAAGTGATGGAAAACTCGAGTACAATCAGGATGCTCACCGTCGAGCACTTGTGGGATGGGTAGAGGGTGCTGGTGGAGATGTTACAGCATTCGATTTTACTACAAAAGGGATACTTCAAGCCGCAGTCCAAGGGGAACTATGGCGGATGAAAGATTCGAATGGAGGGGCACCAGGAATGATTGGCTTGTCGCCAGGAAAGAGTGTAACTTTCATAGATAATCATGATACAGGTTCTACACAGAACATGTGGCCATTTCCATCAGATAAAGTCATGCAGGGATATGCATACATTCTTACTCATCCGGGAATCCCCTCAATCGTAAGATTCTAAATTTGATTTACTTTCTTCCAAGCTGGAAAGCTGGCATCTTCATAACCGCTAAAATTCGTCTAGCTGAGTACAATATGAGATTTATAATTATTGGAACAGAAATCTCTTTGGACAGAAAAGTTAACTTTGTTAGGATTTAGTCAACAACTATGTTGATCTAGTGAACTTATGTTTTTTTTTACTTATACATTCTTAAATTTTCCTTATCTGAACATATTTGTAACAGTTTTATGACCACTTCTTTGACTGGGGCTTGAAAGAGGAGATCACTAAACTCGTTGCAATCAGATTAAGGAACGGGATCGGACCTGACAGTGCCTTGCGTATTCTAGCATCTGATGCAGATCTGTATGTAGCTGCCATAGATGAGAAAATCATAGCAAAGATTGGTCCAAGGTATGATGTTGGGAACCTTGTACCTCCAACCTACCAAATTGCAACTTCTGGAAATGATTACTGTGTGTGGGAGAAAAAAGCAGGAGCCTTGTTGGAATGAACTAATTAATTACAAATTTCTGCATTACAAGTGTATTATATGCTTAATTATTGAGGATAAAGCAAATAGTAGTCCTCAACCAAAATAGAAATTGGGGTCTTTTAAGCCCCGATTTGAGACTATAACATGTGTAGATTCTCTGGAAGCAACAATTTGGCGGAATCAATGAACACACTACCACTTTACTTGACAAACAAACTTTAGTAATGCTAGCGGCATTGCTAAAGCTTTCACACACGGAAGCTTGTATCTCTGAAAATACCATTCAACTCTCTCTATTCAATTGAACTTTGATGCATTCTTGCTTGAAATTTGATGCGTGAAAGCAGCAGATGCAGCAGACTGCACTTTTAACTTCGCAAACCAGCACACAGAAAGCTTAACTAATGGTCCATGATCTGCGTTGAAGTAGGAACGGAACCTTAATCATTGTTTTTTAGGAAAAATAACAGTCAGGGTTACAGTTAAACAGAACGGCCGGGATTTCACTTAACAAAACAGTCGAAGTTTTTTTTCACGTCTTTTGGCAAAGTAACAGTCAGCTTTCCACTTACCAAAATAGTCAAGATTTTGGAACCAAGTCACGTCTCCTCCCAAGATTTTTCTCCCATGATGGATCATTATCCTTGGTCTGACTATTCTCGTTAATCTCGTACCTTAGTTTCTTTCCTTAGAAATCAAATCACTTGCCTAAAAAGTCCAATTTGCACCTCTTTTGGGCCAGATAACAGTCAAGTTTTCACACCCTCCATCTTGTTATATAACATTGAAAAACAGTATTGAACCATAACGTTCACAAAGCAATTCAAGCTCATAGGAGACATGAACACTCGAATCGTTTCCCTCATCTGTTTCCTACTCTCTATCCTTCTCACACCCAACTTCACTGCTTCACAGATCCTCTTTCAGGTATTTATCTGAATACTGTACCTCTCTCTCTCTCTCTCGCAATAGGACTAACGTGTTTTTGGGTGTATGATGGTCAGGGGTTCAACTGGGATTCAAGCAGGAAAGGAGGATGGTACAACATTTTAAAGCAGTCTGTACAAGACCTAGCTAGTTTCGGAATCACACATGTTTGGCTTCCTCCATCTTCTCAAGCTGCTTCAGATGAAGGTATTTCTATGTCCTAAACTGTAAACTCCCTTTTGAACTTTGTCATTAGTCCAAACCAGATTTTGTTCAAAGCTTTTGAGCCAGAATATGATCTCAAAGTCCGGTATTAGGTGTTCACTTTCAAAAGAATAGTCTTGTATGACGGTTATGAAAATTCTTGTCCTGAAGCTTCATCTCCTATCTTTCCTAAGGATACATGCCGGGAAGGCTTTATGATCTCAATTCAAAATATGGAAACAAAGATGAATTGAAGTCACTGGTAAGCGCGTACCGCGACAGTGGGATACAGTCTGTGGCAGATATAGTTATAAACCACAGAACTGCAGAGAAGCAAGACGAGAGAGGAATATGGTGCATCTTTGAAGGAGGAACTGACGATGATCGCCTTGATTGGGGCCATCTCTTATTTGCAGCGATGATACAAAATATTCTGATGGCAAGGGAAACCCTGACACTGGAGAGGACTTCGGTGGTGCTCCTGACATTGACCACAAAAACACAAGGGTTCAGAAAGAGCTCTCGGATTGGATGAATTGGTTAAAGACTGAAATCGGATTCAGTGGTTGGAGATTTGATTTTGTGAAGGGATATGCTCCTGAATATACCAAGCTGTACATGACAAACACAAGTCCAAATTTCGCAGTAGGGGAACTTTGGAATTCACTTTCTAATGGAAGTGATGGAAAACCGAACCCAGATCAAGATGCGCATCGTCGAGAACTAGTCGGATGGGTGGAAAGTGCTGGAGGAGGTGTTACAGCATTTGATTTTACAACTAAAGGGATACTTCAAGCTGCAGTCCAAGGGGAGCTTTGGAGGCTGAAGGACTCGAATGGTGGCGCTTCGGGGATGATTGGCGTGAAGCCAGGAAATAGTGTCACTTTCATTGACAATCATGATACAGTTTCCACACAACATAACTGGCCGTTTCCATCTGATAAGGTCATGCAGGGATACGCTTACATTCTCACTCATCCAGGGATCCCATCAATCGTAAGCTCGTACACTTTCATTTAACTTTGAGTAATGCTATAGGCACGCAAACCCGACATCATTGTTGACATATTCTTTTATACTGCCTGCCCCATATACAAATGATTTAGGGCCCACCTATACTAGAGAGTGTCAGCAATAGTGTTAGTTTTGCGTGTGGACATAGAATTATTATTTACGTTTTTCTCAAGCTATAACATTGCCATCTTTCTTTACAATGAATTTGTTTCCCAACCTATATAAATATGAAAGAATGTGAGAATTGAGGCAGAGTCAAGCACTCACTGTTTAGCATTTGAGTGCTTGCTATTGCCCTGGTGAACTTATTTATAACTGATGCCTATGGTCCATGCTTAAAATTTGTTTATCTTGTTATCGTTTGTGACAGTTTTATGATCACTTCTTTGACTGGGGCTTGAAAGAGGAGATCTCTAAACTCACTGCAATCAGATCGAGAAATGGGATCAAACCCGACAGTGCCTTGCGCATTCTAGCAGCCGATGCAGATGTCTATGTAGCTTCCATAGATGAGAAAATCATAGTCAAGATTGGTCCGAAGATGGATTTAGGCCAACTTATACCTCCAAACTTCCAAGTTTCGACTTCTGGAAATGATTATGCCGTGTGGGAGAGAAAGGCATGAGGGTCTGTATCATCTGGAATAAGACTACTTTTGAATTAAATAAACTCTCTGTTATGGTAATTTAAAAGTTGATCATATATTTTATTTCCTAACGTTTTGTTTGTTTAAATTCCTCGAAGACGGAGAATAATAACCAAGAAAGTGGAGTTTTCTCCTATATATGTTTGCAGTCCATCAAAATTACAACACCCTTCACGTAAAAAACATGACAATTAGAGTCACATTGCAAAGACTTCCCAGGAATGCGGAAAGTGTAACTTAGATGATAGGGTTCTTCCGAGACACCGAATTATCTTGAATACGATCCGGTTTACAACAAAAAGGGACACCTGCTGATTTATTCAGTGCTAATTCTCATATATTTCTGTGCACTGCAGAGGGTGAGTGTTCTTCGAAAATGTGTCAAGTGCTGTGACATCGATGTCGAAATTGATGTGAACCGAATAAAAAAATCCTCATCGAATAGGACATGGCAAGACACATACATGTGTCTCGTAGACAGATCCAAGCACTTGTAGCCTTGATGATTCACTGAGTAACCTAAGAAAACACAAGCTTTTGATTTTTGTTGAAGTTTATTTTGTGTATAGGACATTAACCAGGGAAAACGTCGACAGCCAAACACCTTTAAAATGTCATACATTGGTTTTTTTTGAAACAGTTTCTCATAGGGTGATGAATTAGACAAAAGTCTAGTTGGCATGCGATTTATCAAGTAAGTAGCCGTGAAGCATGCATCAAACCAAAATTTATTAGGCATGTGAGATTGAGAAAGCATAACTATACTTGTTTCAACAATATGTCGATGTTTTTGCTATGCAATTCCTTTTTTTTAGGGTGTTTAGGACATGCAAATCGTTGTGAAATGCCATTAACAGTGAAATTTTTTAAAATGCATGGCTTTTATATTCTCCGCCTTCATCACACTGAAGGGTTTTAAATTGCAAATTAAACATTTTTTCAACATTTGCCTTAAATTTGACAAAGATTTCAAATACTTCACTTTTGTTTTTCATGGGAAAAATCCAAGAGTAACGAGAATAGTCATCCACAAACAACACATAATAACGAAAACCTTTATTAGAAATAATTGGAGAGCACCACACATTAGAATGCAGAAGTTGCAAAGGAAAATGAGAAACTGATTCACACTTTCAAAGGTAACTTAGTACTCTTTCCTAAGGGACATGACTCACAAAAGCTTACATCTGAGGTACCATGAATTGGTACCAAATTATTTGAAATTAAAAACTTAATTATTGAATTGGCAGGGTGACCAAGCCTAGCATGCCATTTTTTTACTAAAGACCGAATCCCTACAAAGGCTGAGATTGGATACTTGAGTTGTCCACTGCCACTCGGAAATAGGTATATGATAAAAGCATATTTATGCGATTTTGTTATCTTATTTCTTTGCATTTACCTAGTTAATTTCCATTTATTGTAGTGATTTAAGCTATTTCCGTATTATTGAAGGTCCAGTTGGTAAAGATGACAATAAATGGCAAAATGGAGCAATTTGGAGCAGTTTTGGACTTGGATTGGATAGCATGCGTGGATAGCATATGGGCTGGATGTTTTTGGTGTTTAAATGGTGTTAGACATGTGCTAAAATCTGCAGAAATTAAAGTTGAGGCTTGGAAGGCAAAGAATTACACAAGAAAGAGGAATCCTAGTTGGAGAGGAACATTACCTTATCATATCTTATCATATCTTATCCTATCTTATCCTATCTTATCCAACCTTATATTATCTCTAACTGCAAGGAGGAATCCTAATCACATTTCAACACTCTCTACCTGATTCTTAGAGTCCTAAAATAATTCAAAACGCCAAAACTTTTTCCTCCTTAGATTTAGCCGTTCCCCTCCCTATATATATATGAAATTTATGCATGCTTTAGGGTGTGCCATGCCTACCATTCATCCATTGAAGTTGTTGAAATTTTCAAAGTTCTTTCTATCTTTGTTTTAAGTTTCAATGTTTATTTTAGATTGTTTTTCAGTTATGATGAACATGTGTTACTAAGTTTCTTTTTAGCTAGAGGTGAATTTGAAGCCATGATTATATGTTTTATATAAATTGATTACATCCAGTCATTGTTTCATAAAACATGAGTGTGATTTACTTATTTGCTTTGTAGAGAACTTATTCTCGTATGTTTATTAAGGATGCATACTTAGTTTGCATGCAGGGATTTGATGCTAGGATATAAGGGAATTTCACCTAATCGTTATGAACTTATATTTGTAAGTAGTAAAAGTCACTAGTCATGATTGAGTTAAGTAAATTCTTGGCAAAAGTATCATGGTTTTCATAGTTACAAATGATTTGTCAATACTTATGATTTTCACATAACTTAATGATCTTCAAGATGTATCTCTATCATTCTTTGCATAGTTAGGCAACT